GCTTAAGGCTGTGTGTCTGATACCTGAAGCTAGAAGGCCAGGCTCCACAGCCTTAGGAGTGTTGTGTCTTGATTCCTGATGATTGTACACTTGCTTACCTACTCATGGTTGCAGCCAGGTTTCAAACCGGCATTTTTTCACAGAAACAAGTAAATTGCTTTACAGATCATCATGTTTTCTTGTCAGTGGTGGAGTACTTTTTTCTTCCTCAGTCAGACCAAATTTTAGTACCAGACGTATACAAGAAAATCTGCTTTTCTTGCTTTAGTGTTTTATATTAGTACTTGATTTTGTTTGATGGTGAGCTGCAGGAGTTGCAGTGATAGATCAAAGAGACCAAGTTTCAGTTATGTTTAATTGGATTTCACTGACTAAAAAGATTCCCAAGTCCAATAAAGCAGTGCTGAAAGTGCCTATTTACCCATACTTTTTTCCACAGATGATCTAGAGGGGAAAAAAAAAAAAAAGAAAAAAAAGCTAGTGTTCTCCTTTCAGAAATGTGAGACATGGGAGTGCCTACAAACATGACAGGAAACATTTCCTTGGATGCATTGGTCATCTCTGTAAACCACATTTTCCTACTTGTGCTGTGCAGATAGGGTAGAATTCATCCTGGTTGAGTCTGTTTTGTAAAACTGGCTCTTCTCTTATATGAGAACTTGGAAGAAGAACGAGCTTTTCAGGTCCTGTTTGTCTGGGCAGGTTGGGACAGGAAAGGTTGCACAAAGGCAGATTCAGTCCCAGCTGGTCTCAGCATGGAGCCCTTCTGCTACCGGAGCAGCTCTCTGGGCACAGGAGCATCAGTGTTACAGGTTGTTCTGTGTTATGTCCCTGTAGGAGTGGGAAGAAATGGACTTGTTCCTTTTGAGGACTACAGAGATAGCAGCAGCCATTGGCTTGCTTTTAGGAGCATCTGACAAAAAGACACCAGGGTGAGAGTGAAGGTGGAATGATGTACTTGTTCCTTTACTTGTTGTTGTTTACTTTCATTTCAGATTGTTGAGCTGGTTACTGTGTTACCAGGTTCATCTGCTCCTGCTCTCAGACCTAGGCTTGTGCAACCAGAGAGTATGTGGGAGTCTGCACAGGCAGGAGCTGTGCTGCAGCAGTTTGAGGTGAGGGAGTCTTGAGTGAGAGCAGCAGCTCAGTGCCAGGATTGTGCCTTATATGGCTGCTCGACGCCTGCAGTGCATCTCTTGGTATACAGCTTATGATAAAAGCCTTCAGGTGCTGTGTTCTTCCACAGCTGTATATCAACTGCTGTTTGTTAGGCTCTGCACACTGAGCTGTGCTGAATGTGGGCCAAAAAGAAGTTGCTTGCTCGGAGTCACAGCTATTGAACAGCCAGCCCTCAGACATGCAAAATGCTGCCAGAATCCCTCCTGCTTCAGCGAATGCCTGAGGTGGCCAGTGCTAGCCAGGAGGCCTCCTCTAGTGGCTGGCTGCATGTCTCCATGCAGGTGGCCAGTCTCTTCCATTTGGGAGCAAGGAGGGCAGAGCACTCTCAAGATGTGATTTCCCATGAAGATTACATGTTGCCAAGGTCAGGCTGCATCTTATATCAGGCCTCTTACGTCAGGTCGCTTTGACTGAGAACATGTTCTTGTTCGCAGGGAGAAAACTTCATCTGTATCTGGACTGTGGTGTAATGCAGAGCGCCAGGCTATGAATGCTGCCAGTGTACTGTTTGTTTTAAACACCACCTATTTTTGTTTTCAGGGCTCCTTTTTTAACCTTTCCGGAAAATGCTGCTGTGGCCACCATCCACTATTCTGCTTCTCTAATGGCTCACCTACAGTGAATCACTCTCAGAGAATGGCCCTGTTTTTAATTGCTGGACACTGCTTTTCTGCAAGAAGGGATTTGTAAACTGCAAATATTTGCAGCTCTCCAAACCCACAAAAATAATGTTTGTCAGTGCTCTAGAGATCAATGTTTAAACCATACAGTCTAGTGCAATCAGAAGGATGTTTTTGTTTATTAGGAATATATTTTAAAAGTAAACAAATTAATTTATAGATAGCTATATAATTACACTCACACACACATACACATATATACATATATAGAGTCAATTACAGATGTAAATATGTTAGGCAACTCTGGTACAATGAAGTTATGTCTTAAAAAAATACATAATTGTATGAGGTTCTCATTGAATATTACTATAAGCAGACATTTTTATAAATAACATTTGAGGCCTCAAATAAAACTTCTTTGTTTCCTGCCTCAAGTGTCTGCCAAATTATTTTTGATTCTTGGGAGACTAGAAAAGTGGAAAGCTTTCTCCAATCCTTTGGTTACACTGCTACCAGATTGTGCAGTTGGATTTGTTGCTTCTTGGTTCTCACTCTTATCTGAGAGTGCTTCTTTCTCATCCATTCTTGAGCTCAGCCCATGCCATGAACAGCAGGTATTTGTACATTTTTGTTACTACTGTAAGTTTTGCTATAAATTGTCCCTTGAAAATATCATTGCTGTCTCGACATTGCTTTTACTGCATGGTAGAGCCCAAGCTGTTTTTGTTTTGTTTGGAGCCCCAAGATCTTTTGATGCAGATATTGCAGTTTCTAGCCTTTTTGTGCTTGTTAAAGCATAAATGTGTTATGAGACCATCTTAAGAAAAAAAAAGAGGCTGTTGAGTGATACATCCAGAAATGAAGCCACCTAGGGATACGTAATGAGCATCAAGGCTTGTATGCTCATGGCCAGTTACTTGGACTTTGAAGTTGGGGTAACAAAGCAATGAAAGTATGCTCAAATTAGTTGTTAAATTGTTAAGCTAAAAGGAGATTAATTAAAACATCATAAAACACTGTTCTTGAAAAGGAAATGGAGAAGGCACTGGCTTCTTGTTTTTACAGCAAATATAATACAGTGAGTCTGTGATGAAGAGTTCGACCACAGCAAATTCCTGGGGGTAAACATAACAACAACAAAACAACAGAAAACAGGGATTTTCTAGTCTGCATTTTACAGTAGCTTTCAGAGGCTTATAGTCACATTAAATCAGATGCTAGCAAAAACTTGCTAATTATTATATGTGTGAACATATAGGCTTGTCTGGAAATTGTTCAAGAAAAATTGATGCTCTGTGAAATATATCATCATTGTGTCTTATTCATTTTTAATATATTTTCTTTACTTTTGAGGGAATATATTGATGCTTTAGTAAGTGCTCCTCTAAAACACTGTGATGTTCTCTAGCTGGAGGTGGGATGGGCTGCTGTAACAAGTAGGAATCATCTAAAATCAAGTTATAATCTAAAATGTTTCTTTTATATTTTACTTGCTGCTGTCTCCTGTTCTTCAGAATGAAAGAAATTTTATGCAATATCTCCACTTCTAAGTTACTGCAGGGGAGACTTAGGCAAATCTCAGTGTAGGACTTACTCTTTACTAACAGCAATTTTAAAAGTACTTTGGCCAGCATGATAAATTATGTGTCTCTGCAGAGGCACTGAGGAGTAGAGTAGAAACAAGCCACCCCAACAATTCTGACTTCATTTTCTGTTTTGTAATGCTTGTGATAGTTAATTGCAGACTGTATATAAAATAATGTATAGGATAAGAGAAATCTCCATATATCCCAAAACTAAGCTGTTGTTGCTGCTACACTGCATAACTATTATACACAGTGCCAAACTGTTTTGGCTTTTTGTACCCCCAGAAGGGTGCAAAGAAACAGAAAATAGGGTGAAGACAACTGTTTCAGGCTATCTGCACATTTCTTCTAAGAGACAGAAACTTCTGCCAGAAAAAAATCAGCTGCTGGAATTATTTTAATCTCTTGTGCTGAACTTTCACACTTTATTTTGAATTTTTCACTGTTGCTGCCCTGAACATGGCATATATTTCACATTTCTTGTCCCCGTTTGCTCTCTCTGCGTGTCCAGCCTGCTTATACCTAATTCCACATTTCTCTTAGCAGCTTTCAAAGAGATGGTGAGAAATGACCTGATGCAGTCTAGAGGCAGTAAAAATATTTTTATTCACTGATTCTCATAGATCGTTCTGAGAGCTCTGGCCAATGGGTGATATGGAAACACCTAGGGTTTATAGATTATTATTCCTAGCAGATTCATATTGAATATCCTTTTTAAAATAAACTCACAGCCATGCACGTATGCCTTTTAGAGTAGAACAGAGCAAGATAACCTTGCACTGAGTTTCTGTATCACCCTGCTCTTACATTTAAACTCTTTTGTTTTAATCAGTTACTTCTCACAGTCATTATGAGGATTCATTTTTTAATGACATTCACTAATAAGTATTATTTATGTGTGATACCCTGAGAATAAGTAATCTCATTCTTTCTGAATCTCTTTGCTTTCTTCTGGTGTTGAGTTTAGCAATTGCTAGTGACAGTCAAAGTTTATAGAACAGTTCTTGGTTTTACAGGAACAAAACGTCATGGAAACACCACCTCTCAACTCCATCCCTGGTAGCAATAGTAAATATTTGGTCAGAGTGTACTTTCCATTCGGCATCTCTGGGCTGTTTTTTTGGAAAAGTCTTGCATTTGCAATAGTGTGATCACACACTGATAAAGTAGACCTTCCCAAAGTGCTTCAGTAAGCTGTTATAGAAAGAAAAATTAGAGGAAGACATGGAAAGACTTTTAATAAGATGCATGAAACCATGAGGTCTTCTTGTCTCTACATATCTTTAAGGCAGATAACAAAGTGGGGCAAGTCATTCTTGCTTTGTCTGATTTTTTCCTCTGGATTTGTACTGAACTTCTTATGAAAGTCACAGAAGTACCATGTTCTGAATCTTACTGTTCTTTATGATTTAAAATGATTTAAAATCATTACACCTTAATCAAACCTACGGCTCTTAAGCAATTTGTTGTTCCCACATTTGCATCTGACTAGGAAAGGCACCCCTGTAGGGAACTGTGAGTTTTGCAGGTCCTCAGCTGTGAAGTATAGCACAGCAGGAACCACTGAGCTTGATTGACATTGCTCATTTGCTCTTTAACACAGCTGCCTGCAAATTCTACCAGGAAATGTTTCTGAGCCATAACAGATTTAGTTGCTGTATGCCTGTGATATACTCTGGGATCTCCTCTGCTAGCTCTTGCTCCTGATTAATACAGGTATGTGCTTTGTAGCTAAAATCTGTTTGGTCCGTGACTTCTGGTTGGGAAACCTGGTGTATCTCTGAGGGGTGGCCAGGTTGTATGCTTGTCCCCTAAAAGCTGTGGATGGAGGAGAATGGGAAGGGGGAAAATAAGGCTGAAGAGCCTCAATGCCAATTCAGTGTTACATAGGGAGGCATTCTGTTGGTATTCTGTATGGCCTTCTTGCCAGGAAGCTGAAGGAAACCAAAGCATAGCTGAGAATTGAGCTGGTTGCCTTTCATCCCAAATATAGACAAAAACTATACAGGAGCAGATACACGATGTGCTATTTTCTCAGAGGAATAGAAAAAGACTTATTCTTTTAAATCTGTGCAGAGAAATTGCATTCCAGGGAAAAAGCACTGATAATAATCCACTATAAAACCAAGATTAGAGTCCAGACAAAGAGGACTGGCTTTTGTTCTCTAAACAAGAAATTATCCTACACAACCCATTCAATAGAGCATCTGACCAGGTAATTAGAGTCCAAATTTCAACTTTCAAGGTTTTGCTGTGTATTACTCTCTCTTTGTTGTTTATTGCACAAGCTCAGGCGCTCAGTGATAAACTGTTTGCTCTGTGGCCTTGCTGTGGTACATGGAAAACTTTCCATGACTGTACTGCTAGGAACAGAAATAGCTAGGCATGTTCCAGGCGGCTTTTGGAACAACTCAGTTTGAATCCCGATGAAAAAAGGGATTGTTCAGAGGCTCATCAATATTCTGTATGACTTGTTTGTTTCTCTTTAAATCCGTTATATGGAAGAGCATGAAATGCTGGGAAGAGATTTTATTTCATATCCTCCTGGTAGCTTTTAGAGTCGTACACTGCCATGCAGTTCATGAACAAACTTTCTTCCAGGGTTAAGCCAGGGGAATGGATTTGTTTCTTTTATTATTACTTAATTCTTTTACTTCAGTTGTACTGTATTGAAGGAGAAAGACATTATCTTTTTTTGTTTGTTTTTAAGCAGTAACATTTTGTTTTTATATTAACTCTATGTTAACATATTGGGAAATGTAGTGTTTAACAATTTTTTCCTTCTGGAGTTTTCTATATGCAAAATTCTCTTTCAGTATATACTAAGATCTGGTGCTGATAATTCAGATACAGAGAGCTGAGAGGAAAATTATTGTTATTTTTTCTGCTTCAACCTGTCTGTTGAAATCAGAACTGAATTAATTCCCCCTTTATCTGCCCAAAATTTCTTAGGTGAATTCTTGTGAGCTTCCTGACTGCTTCGTGTTCCTTTTACTTCTTTGAAGGAGACCTTCAATTCCCCCACCTTCATCCTCTTTTTGTTTCCCTGGGACATAAGCCATAGGACTAAAAGAAGTGGCTAGAGCATGTGGATATAGACGTGTATCAGATTTACCTGAAACTGTAATAGGTTACTCCTTGTTCTCCAGGCACCTACAGTTGGCACTAAAAAACTGGTCTTGTAACTTTTATCTTTAAGAAATAGTGCTTTGTAGTTTATATGCCAAGAGTTAGAATGCTCATTGCTTAACTTTTATTTCTCCTGATCGTAACAAAATTTCTCAGACAGTATTTTGCATCTTAACATTGTTTAAATAATCTTTCTGGTTAAGCTGATTAATCCTGGATGGATTTACTAATCTGGGGAGGAAAAACTGCCAAAGATACATAGCAGAGTATTTCCTAACTTCTTTTGTGTGAAGACTGTGATTATTTCTTTTCTCCTCCACAGGCATATCTTGAGTGAGCTTTGAGAAAATACTTATCTTGTAAATGAACTGTAGTCAGCTGAAGGGACTGAAGGAAACTAAACCATTCTGTGGTTGACAAAGAGACATGGGATTTTATATGGGTATAAATCTGCTGCTGGATTTGGGCTTCCACACTAGCTGGATGCTAGTTCTACTAGTAGAGTCATCATCTCTATTAGCAGTTTGAATTAATGGTTTTGTTATAGAAGAAAATATTTAGACAACTGATGCTAGACAGACTAAACTTCCTTTTCTGCTGAAGTATTTGTAGGAAGTGGTACTTCTGAAGTGGGTGCACTTTTGTTCAAGTTTATCCATCTTCTGGAAAACCTGGAGGCTTGAGGCCCTAGGTCCATCTAAACCACTTCAGCGTCGTTCTTCTACTACTATTCTCGTCTGTAAACTTGTAAAGATGCAAGAATGTTGAAAACCATTGGTCAAATAGAAAAAGGTTGAACATTAGATTTCTCGATAAGGGTTCTCTTCCGTGCACCTGTTTGTGTGGTCACATTATTTGCCTTGATGATAAAATCTTTTAAACACATTATGTATTTTAGAAGATCCTCTCCTCAGGTATCCTGGATCCTATTATCTTGAGTTCATAAATCATGCTCTGTCACAAGCAGTTACCAACCATGTCACAACTCATTCGTAGTCCATGCCTTCCTGTCATCAGCATTATAGTGTTTCTGTATTTCATGTGTTTCCATAGCTTGTAAATAACCCATGTCATGGCAGCGTGGCAAAGTAACCCTGCCTCCAGGGTAGACAGTACTATACTACAGCTTTTCATACTCTTTCCATATGCAGCACCATCACAGCTGAAGTTTCCAGGAGAAATCTTATCTAGCTTAACATCAATCCTATTCTCAATGAACCACAGAAAGCAGAACCTTAAGCTAAATACACTTAGGAGGAAAAATACATCAGCACTTCCGAGCTTTTTGAATTGGAAACTTGGAGGTCTTGTTATGATGGATTCAAGATTTCCAGCTGTGACACTATGACCTGCTGTTTCATTTTGGTGATATCACTTCATAGGATATAAGCAACTTAAAGTTTCCCAGGACATCATAATGCTGTTTAATAAACAAATAAACTAGGTCTTACACTGCAACTCTGGACTCAGATCGGTTAAAACAGATCAGTTAAAATGCTTCTGAATGCGTATATCTCCTGGGGCGTTCAGATTCTGTGAGCCACTCAGCTTTGATATGGAAAAACATCAGGATGCTTCTAAGTTACCTTCCTCCTAATTCATGCTAGAGGACTGAAGAAGGCCCCATCTAATTGTTCAAATGTAATAGTGATGTTTAAGGAAGATTTGGGGAAACTGAGGAAAGAAGTGTTAATGGATACAAGGCCTCTGTGAGGATGAGGAGAAGCTTCACTGAACAGGTTCCAGAAGGTCCTCTGCTTTTGGTAAATAATTTCCCTACATGTAGATGCAGCAGAAAGTCCCTTCTCTGAACCTTTTTGTGCCAGATGAGGAAAAATAAGTGAATTTAAGCTTACAAAATAGCTGTTTAGCTGTAGTTCTTTTGCAGAAATGTCACATGTAGTTTTGTGGCATGGAGACATTCCTATGAAATTCAAGCTAGTTTCTCTCTGTGTTTAGTTGATGATGCCAGTGCCCTACACAGCCAGCCTCGCTTGTGAGATTCTGCAGGTGCTTTGCAGGCATGTGGAATTAATATAAACTGCCCAGGTAAAAGATGATGATAGCCAAGGTTAGTTATGTACCTGAGCATTATGCTTTTGGGACAGTATTTAAGGTGGGGACCTGGCACTGGGGTTGAACTAATGTGTTCTATCTTCACAACTAGGAAGAGTGTGGCTGCTTATACTATTTATTTAAGCAGAAAGCCCTGCAGGGTGAGAGGGAATGGGATGGAAAAAGCCAGTGGCATCAGGATGGGATGGGAAAGAATGAGCTGAAATGAGGTTTTGCTGGTTTGCTTTCTTAATAATAAGTTGCATTTCTGGAGGCTCTTGTGGGCAGTGAAAGGCAGGCATAGGAAGGAGGGGGCTGTATGGAGGTTATAACATTTTTTCCTTCTCCCCTTCCCCAAGGAGGACCGACTCAGATTTTTCACATGGTGTTTATTCTGGCTTTTTTTTTTTTTTTTTTTTTTTTTTTTAATACTGCACTCGCTCTTGTTTAAATATGTCCTATAAAATATTTTCCTTTTTTCCTCTGCGTATAACCAAAAGCAAAGAGCATTGATTTTTGAGAATTCAGGTCAATGTGAAAGAACGTCTACCAAAAAAAAAAAAGGGCAATCTGAGTGAAGAAAGGAGAGTTATTTTCGTAACTTATTTCCTTTGTACAAATTGAACAAGAAAGTAGAACAACTTCAGAAGTAAGATCCTGCTACTTTCTCTAAAGAAAGGTTTTTTTCAAGCATGTTGCATCATGAAGAAATGGATTTGCAGCATTAGAAAATCCTGAGCCATGTAATCGAGATACCTGAGAAACATCATTGTGAGTGTACTGCATAGACAGTGGAAAATCACCAGCGTGCTCCTGAGCAGCCCCACACCTCCAGAAGTCCAGGGTCTGCCGCGGGGGGAGCTGGGGACTGCGAGTTAACCTTGGCTGAAATTGTAACTGGATGTTCTGGAGACTTTCTGCAACAGCAACTGATTGTATCTTGTGGATAGATAAAAGTGGATGGACAGAAACATTTCTCTTCTAGCAAAGTTTTGCCCAGAGCAGTAATTTACTGCAAATCAGGGGAGTAACTTTTTCCCCTAAAGATTAAACTGTTACAAGAAATATAGAGGTGCTTTTGTAGTAGGATGACTTTTCAGGGCTGTAACCATGGAGTAGCACGCGCTGATGCAATTAACCTTTTCACTGCTGTAGGAAAGCATGTGCGATCTGACAACAAATTTCTTCTGAAAATATTCCCCTTTTCAGGCATTGCTACTTTGGTTGTCTATCTAATTTGTGCACTGACACCCAGCTGGATCAGGAAAATGCTTTGCATGGGGGGTTTTTAAGTCCTGCTGTGGGCACTGGAATGTTTTCGTACTTCACCTCTTTGCAGCCCACAGTGGAAAGGAAAAGAGGTACTGGAGAGGGACGACAAATAATGCTAACTTCAATTTGGAGAGTGTGGTAAGCACCATAATGCAGGATTTACCTCAGTTTCTGGCAGCTGGGTGTTGGATTAAGACTCAAAGTATGTGGGACAGAGAATGTGATGCTCTCACATATTTTCCTTCAGAGATTTTTCATTA